AATTTCATTATGGGGTAACGGATCGTTAACACATTTGATTTCCTTTGCATTTAAGATACTTCATTTGCTTTGCATATTATAGCATGTTACCAAGAGAAGTGTTACATTGCCACAGGTATATCTAGGGGCCAAGTTCCACTCTCAAATATACCCAAGCAACTCAAAGTCAATGGGATTCACTGCATCTACTAGCACAAAGCAGCACCAGATGGAGACAGAAAATACATCAACAGAAGATCCAGTGGGGAAAAAATGGAAGGCCCATTGTACTTAACATGCCCCGAAAGAGATGTACCATGTATCATTGGTCTAAGCAGTATGTTAAAACAGAACCATATGAAAGGCATATGTACTAGTATCTTACTTCCCATAAAATGTATTAAAAGCCAATGCGTCCCCCTGGGAGTCTGCTGCAGTTATAAGACTTTGTCAACACAGAGAATAATTTGGATCAGGGTCGCCAACTCTCCATAAATTTACAGGCAGTCCATAATAAAAAAATACAGCCAAAAAAAAAAAAAAAAGGAAGCAGGGGAGAAGAAGAGTTGTCTGCAAAAAGATAAGAAACAACGAGTGCGATGGACAGATGAAATGGAGTAACGCCACTATGCTCCCACTGGTATCTGAGTGCTAGCGCCGTACCCTTGGCGGGAGCTCGTCAAGGCTTTGCAGCTCACTTGTGGCCCACTGCCCAGTAGGGGTGTGCCAAGAGGGCAGTATTTGATTCAAATTCGGATTTGGCCTGAAAAGGGGGACAGTGATTCGATTTGCTGATTCAGATCGCTGTCCTGATTCAATTCGGGCAAATCTGAATCTGAAGATTCAATTCTGATTCAGAGAATCAGTGATTCAGCCATAGACACAGCTTTTTGTTTTTTCTATATACCTCAAGGTACCAGGCATGGCTTGTGAACGCTGAAATGGTGGGGCAGGTGGAGCGTCCCACGGGAGTGCAGGGGTCCCCCCATGCACTCGGCAGTGGACCCCACTTCAGGTTCTGCCGCTGAGCATGCTGGGGACCCCCCCACACCCCTCCAGCTCAGCAGTTGGCCGCAGGGGGAGCCCAGATGCCCTCTCAGACCCAGGGGGCACCCGTCACCAAGCTGGGGGGCAGGGGGGTTCCCCACGCACTTGGCAGTGGACCCGGAAGTACTTCTTCTACCCGGAAGTTTCGAATTGAAACTTTCAATTCGATTCGGAGAGATTAATGGGTCTCCCAATTCAAATTGGATTCAGAGATTCAGCCACTGAATTGGGCCGAATCTCCTCTGAATCAAGTCAGCAACAGAAGCTTCGCACAGCCCTACTGCCCAGCCATGTGCTACTTTTGTCTCTCTCTGGCTATCCCCTGCATCTAATAGCTGCTCTCCTCAAAGATACAAGGAGGAATGCAGTGTAGCCAGGAGAGAACTGCAGGGCCTGGAGGGGGGAAAGGCAGTTGAGTGAGTATCTGTGTCAGGGCAGGGGAAGTAGTGGTTGGGGAAGGGGTGGTAATGCTAGGAAGTGGGCCAGGGCAGGTAGCATGGTATAAGGTGCAGTCAGAGTTATCAGCAGGGGATACCTGTGGTGGGGACAGCATAGTATTGCTGCAGCAGTCAAACAAGATTGCCAAGACAAGACCTTTTCTTTTAACTGATCATCTGCAATTTTTTATTTTTATTTTTTTAACTACGATTGGTGTTAAACCCCTAAATTTGAATCCAAGCCTTGTTACTGCCAGCCAGGGCCTGCCAGAAGGGTTACATTTGCACTATGTAAAACATATGGTAGTAAAAAGTTTGCAGATTGTTATTAAAAACAATTCTGGAGTTGGAACTCTGACATAGCATATCAAAGCTGGATCAGCTGGAGAACGGGAGTAACAGAAGCAGAATAATATGCAAGAGTATAAAATGCAAGGTCATGTATTTGGGGACCAGTCATATTATGTCTTATTGCAAGCTGGCAGTTTGTTATTTGGAAATGACTGAGGAGGAAAACAATGTGGGTATATTAGTCGATCACAGGGTAACTAAGAGCTGCATTCACAGGACGCATCAACAATGGTATTTCCAGTAGAGATAGGAAGTATTTGTTGTATAAAGCACTGGTAGGACCTCATCTCAGATGACTTTTGGTCACCTACGCTCAGAAGACATTAACTTGTTCTAGATGAGGTGCAGAGCAGAGCTACTAGGAAAACCAGGGTAATGGAGGGTCTAGCACATGAAGAGAGATTGGACAAGCTTGGTTTGCTTAATTAGCAAAACAAATGCTGAGGGGATAAGATTGCTGTCTATAATTACAAGGGGAAACACAGCCAGGAGAAAGAAGAGCATTTGAAGTAAAGGAAAATGCTGACACAAGAGCAAATGGGTACAAACTTGCCTGAATAGAAATCAGGCTGGGTAGTAGAAGGTGGTTTCTGAACAAAAGAGCAAAGAGGTTCTGGATCTGCCTTCTGGGTGAAATGGCAGAGGCAAAAAACAGAACTACTTTTAAGAGTTAGCTTCAGAAGACTATGAAAGGGATTATATGATACCCTGGCTGCAATAGCATGTGACTGGATGCAGCAATTCAGGAGATCCTTTAACGTCCTATGTTTCTACAACACAGCCTTGTTCAACTCTTTTGTGGCAACCAAATGTTACAGTTTTGATATACTGCTTAAAGCCATGTACAATGTAAGGTCTTTATTGTTGGGCTTCCAATGAATTATCTGCTAATTTGTTGCAACTTTTTGGTCTGAGCCAAGTTGCCCATTCAGTAGAACTGCACACATCTTGCAGGATATTCGATTTAGCACAAGACAACTGAATTCACTTGCATTTGAAATTACCAAAGGAAATTTCTGAAAACTGAAACCTCCTTGAAGGGGAATACTAGCACACTTTGCTAAAGACATTCATTCAGACTTTATTGTTTACTTTGTGAAGATAAAATGATTTTGAAACATTTTGACCTTAGCAGTATGCAAATTTCCACTACGTTCGAGATGAGGGGTTTTATCCTACTGTTTCTTATTTAAAGTATAGGTTGATGACATGTGATATGAATCATCTTTGTTTTGTTGAAAACTGCTGAATTCCAGAAGGATGTATCACTTTCATTTTTCAATGCATATAGTACATATGAGAGTGTGAAGACTATTGTCAGATTAAAATTATTATATAACCTTTGAAAATGCAAATCAACACAGAATCAATAAGAAATGGATAGCTGCATGTGAAGATCTGCCCAAGCAATGTATGGTTTTAGTGGGGCTTTTTTTTTAGTGGGATGCAGAGCGGTGGCAGCACGGGGCGGTCATGGGACTTTTGATGCTTTTAATCCATGCAGTAAACCTGAATTATGTTTGCGGTACACTAAGCTTTAACCACAAAAGGGCAAAACAACTCTTCTTTTGATTCATGCCAGCAGAAGTTGTCAGATTAAAAACAACCTCTTCATCTTCTACAAGAGCCAAGGTCAGCCAAACCAGTCATTTACAGTGATTGAGTGATCCTCAGCTAGCTTCCCTTTGTTCACAGAATTTTCCCCTATGTAAATATTCCCAGCAGTAATATTGAATTACAGTACGCAAATGGGTTTTTCTTTATAATTCAAAGCAGCACGCATAGACTTGATTCCCAGAAACTTCACTACAAAACAGAGATACTAGTAAGTAGTGATTGTAATGTTCTCCACATTAAGTGAGGGCTCACTCGCTTACATTGATGCTAAAGCTTTCAAACATCAAATCCAAAGTTAAACATCTAATCTATATATACATAAAGGGTTTAGTCTGTGTGTCTGTAATGCTCTTGGAGGGCGTGGCTCCCGGCGGGGCATGGCTCCAGCCAGTGCTGCATCAAGAACGATGGGCGGGGCGAGGCTCCAGCAGAGAGGGCCAGGTGGACGCAGAGTGGGGTGGGGGG